GGACAAACGATAAACTTAGGAAAAGTAACCTGAAAAAAAGACAGAAAAGAAAAGGAGCCCAAATGATGGCCACGAACGTATTGAAGCGTAAATGTTAATGACTTCGAATAAACCTTTTCGATTTGTAAAGTGCTTGAGGTGTCATCTGGATTTGATGTTTCATTCATGAATGTTATTATCGCCTAATTTAGACAAAGTCTCCTGCTACTGCGAACTTTTAGAGTAAGCTTAACCCACATTGGCCCAATTGAGCCTGTGCTGGCACACTCAACGATAATTGCGCAATTTTTCTTTGTTTTCTTTTTTCTTTTTTCTTCGTTTTTTTTTGGCTTCCCAACGAGAACCTTACATCTAGTCTCTAGGTCTACCTTTCATTTTGACGTATTTATGTAGAAGTAAGTAGCAAAAGTGGAAACAAGGTTTTAGTTGATATCTTATTTTGTTTTTAAATAATGTGCTATCGACATCATCAAGACGTTTGAACGGAGCAAGAGAGTGAGGAAAGAAGAAGAAGAAGAAGAAGAAGAAGAAGAAGAAGAAGAAGAAGAAGAAGAAGAAGAAGAAGAAGAAGAAAGGAAAGGAGAGAGAGAGAGAGATGGAGGACGAAAAGAAGGAGAATGAAAGAATTATATATATATATATATATAATATATATATATATATATATATATATATATATATATATATATATATATATATATATATATATATATATATATATATATATATATGTATACATATTTAAAAAAATATTTATATATATATTTACTGAGAAAGATAGATAGATAGATAGATAGATAGATAGATAGATAGATAGATAGATAGATAGATAGATAGATAGATAGATAGATAGATAGATAGAGAGAGAGAGAGAGAGAGAGAGAGGGGGGGGGGGAGATGGAGAGATAGGGAGGGAGATGGGTGGGGGATGGGGTGGGGCGGAAGGTTGAGATAGATAATCGAGGTCAGGCTTATGTAAGTGATGCGAAACTACGGACTTCTTTACAGTAATGCTCAACAAACTATAATTGTCTATGCACATTCCTCATACAACAAACATAGGTGAAACATAATGTAAACTGCGCACTTTTGCACCACGAAACATCGATGAGTTTGTAACTCCTTTATAACCCCATTAACAGAATTTAGAATATTTAGGTGGTAGGAAACATAATAATGAGTTCTGTAAATGGTAAGGATGAAACATTGAGCCCTCTTGGTCTAACAGTTATGACACTGTAGATTTGAAAATGGTTGTATCTGCGCAGTACCTAGTTTTGAGAAATTTGACTTCAAAGATTTAGAGTTTCACATCATATCAATCTTTTTCGAAAGCAGTTCTTTGAATGTCTTGATAACGACTCCGAATATTCTTACGATTTTGATAGAGCAGATGGAACATTTCGTTTCTGACCTCATGATTTTAGTAACTTAAAACAGCCCAAAACGTCAGATAGAACTTTGTAATTCTGAGGTAGTGAAATACTTTTTGTCTGTACACTCCATAACAGGGATGTTGAGAAACCCAGTCGGCCAAATTGTGCAGTTAATATAAAAGGGTGTGGACTGTGGGGGTCATTTATACTGCAATGCGATAATACATGTTGGAATGTATCGACCTGAAGGGAAATAGGAATTCACACTTAATTTATAACGAATTGCTACGGACATGGCCTTCTTATTATACTTTTTTTTGAAGAAGAATAGAGAGTTACGAAAGTTTTTCTATGTACCCTGAATCCGATCGTTATGGGCACATCGTTAGCTCAGCTGGTATCATGCTGGAATACGGAGTGGATGGCCTTTGTTCGAATCCCCCGACGGATTGGGTTGTTTTTGGGAAGGAAGCTTCTAAAATCTCTCTACCCATTTGGCTAGGTCATACCGGAGATAAACGTTAAATTTGGAGGTCCCTTTTTAAAACAGTCTCACAGGATATGAAAGGGAAATTGAAAGACGTGGCCGGGGACAGGCAAGCGTGGTGTCGACTGTTCTCCGCCTTATGTACCTGACGGTATGGGGAGAGAGTAAGTAAGTAAGAGTATGAAAGATACTTCAGACCTATACAATGACCATGAACTTTTGTCAAGGGCCCATTTTTATATGTTATCCATGGTTAGCTAAGAGGTTTGACCAGTTATAACGTGCATCTCCGATGGGATCAAGACAAACGAATAGACGGCCCTTAAAGCAACCCAAGTTAACAACGTCGTGTAAGGCATTCAAACCAGCATTTGATCACGGAGGCAACTGAGCTTGTTGCAAACCTTTCAAATGCACCGAAACACCACAAAAATAATATGCTTGTATATTCAAAGTTGATTTTATGTCAGTTTATGCTTCGGTATGAAATCTGCAAATGTTCAGCAACCAGCGAAGAACACAAATCCACATGCAAAATTATGCAGGTCCCTTATCAGTGTGAATCCATGCAAGACAAATGGAAAAAAAATCTGAGCCGTAAAATTAAAATGAACATATTATCAAGCCTATTGAAAAA